GTGGAGGTCATTGGTCAAGGTCACAGGTCACGTGTTTTTATCCAACCAGTCATTTGTTGCCATGTAATAAATAGAAAAAAGATGAGATGACTTGATTGGATAAGGAAATTTTACCAATTGATCTTCGGTGATTGATGAGTTTTTAGCTTGAGTTACCTCGCTTTTTTATGGACGTAACATTATGGGCGTTTTGAAGAAAGTTGTTGGTCATGTAAAGTTAATGAGCCCGGTTCGTTTACCCTGTAGTACCGAGCAAGTGGGCGAAAAATTGGACCACTGTTCGTTACTGAGGGTCAAAGAGCCGTGTTCAATGTCGTCACCATGACAACAACGATGCGTCAAAACTGGTCTGTCATTATGGTTGGTTGTTTAGTGTAGTCTATTAGCTGATTGTTTTATGTTGAGAGAAGAACATTAATTAACAAATAAAGTGCTTAAAAGCTTGGCATAGGTCAAGGAATTGCTGCTATTTGCTTAGTATGTTTAACTACATACCAATTTGTATATTTCTTTGGCCCCTCTCTATGTTGTCTGTTATGTTTTGTTTTAGCACGGCCAAAATCTAGTCAGTTTTCCCCAGAAGGCTCTCACATTTGTCATTCACTTTGATTTGTTTATACTGGTTAGCTTTTATTTTCGCATAGCTAGTAGCTGATTTTGTCTCTTTACGCTATTAGTATTTGTATACGTAGCCTTTGACCATTGTCTTTTATGTTCTATTGTACCTGATTTTTAAAAAAATATGAGCAATGTCCTTTCAGGTTATGTATAGCTTTGAGTGTTTTGTTTCATTCGTGCATACTGAACTAGGGTTGCTTCTAAGTGTTCGTCAATATTCCGCTGCAGATTCATTCATACTGAACTAGGGTTTGTTTATAAGTGTCAGTTAATATTCCACTGCAGGTTGATATTATGCTTTATATCATACTGAACTAGGGTTTGTTTCCACGGGCCAGTTAATATCCCACTGCAGACTTTTTTTTATATATAATTTTGTACCATACTAAACTAGGGTTAATATTTCACTGAAGTTTGTTTTTATGTTTATATCATACTCACCTAGGGTTTGTGTTTAAGGGCCAGTTAATATTCCACTGCGGATTGTTTTTATATTATACTGACCTCGGGTTTGTTTTCTAAGTTGCAGTTAATATCCCACCGTAGATTGTTTTCATTTTTATATCATTCTTAACTAGGGTTTGTGTTTTAAGTGTTAGTTAATATTACACTGCGAATTTTTTTTATTTTAATATCATATTGAACTAGGGTTTGTTATTAAGTACCGGTTGTATATGATCTTGTTGCTTACCCCACACTTTGTAATGTAACATACACTAGAATATACCCCGTGTTTCTCTATTGTTTCGGTCTCAATTCAAACAGGACTTACATACAATTATATGACTGATAGAATCAGCAAATGGTAAATTAAATTATCACAATATGATTCTTAATACGCCTTTCATGATCTCTACAAGCTGCTGCATAATAAATGTATGGCCCTTTGCCAATTGTTCAATTAATAACGCATTTTAACTGTCTATTGTGAATTTCATATATCAATATAACATCTAAATTTATTCACAATTTCATATTCTTTGTTTATAATTGTAAAAATGAGTTATTTTTTTTATCAGATAATAGGATGGACATGTTAGTAAATTTTAGGAATTCAGATGAATTTAACACATTAGTGATTAATATTAGGTTTACAGATAAAAAAAAGCAATAATAAAAAAAAAAAACATTTCAAATAAAGAAAACAAAATAAATTAATAACTGTGTTTCTAGAAATTAGTATTTTTGGAAAAAATTATGCCATGTCTAGGCTAATTCCGTGTTTAACACATTCATATTGATCGGAATTGAATGAAAAATTTGTCGGTTGTTCCTAGTTTATTACATCATTTTGCACAATTTTTTTTGTGATACCCCAATTTAAGTGTTTCCATGGCTGGGTACATATACTACTTCTATAACATCTAATATCACTTCTCATCTGTTGTGTACACATAGTTTGCAGACTTTTATTTTATTTTATTGTATTTTTTTGTGTTGTTGTTTTTTGGTTGGTTTTTTTTTCTTTTGTTTTTAAATTTCAAAGTCAAAATAATAAAGCATTGAAAAACACATAAAACTGAGAAATAGAAAGGTATTCTATCTGAACCATCAGCATGTGTGTAATAAACAAATACGTTATCTTGACTTTAGGCAGAACAAATCCTATAATTGTTAATTGCCGAACTTGGTACCATTATTGGATTAAAGTTGTTCCGAGTACTTAGGCTCGGGCCTTTGCGTGTTAAACAGTTTCAAAGGGCCTAATTCAAATCATTCTAACATGTAGCCCCATTCTAGTGAGATAATGTAACTCGCCAAACATGTTTACACTTGAGTAAAACAGATAATTTGGCCCCTTTTAACGCAAGAGACCACTTTTCTCTTCTTTTCGAGTGACGCTTCAGTAAACTGTATATATAAATTCTTTCAAAAACATCATATTATTATGACCAGTGTCTTGTCTACTTCTGTATTTAAATAGTTTGAAAAGAAAGTGAAGACAGAGATATATTAAACTGATATGAAATATCATATTTTTTAAATGAAAAATACATGAATTATGTATTTATGTATATATATATTTATATTTTTTGCAAAAAAATAAAAATTGAATTAGACTGCTTGCTGATATGAAATATCATATTTTTAAAATGAACAATATATGAATTATTTGTTTATCTACATTTCAATAAATTTTGAAAAATACAAAACGAATGAAGTAGATAAAAACAAGTTTTAAAACTCCTCATAATAAGGTAGGGAAAGATTGAAAAATACCATTTAATGATCGTGTAAGTAAGAAATCATATAGTACCTTAGTCCCCAATATTTGCAATAAAATTAAAATAAACCGCATTATTTCCATACAATCGTGTGTTAAACCATGTTAATAAATTCATAATATTACAGCGATTATGTTATTTCAGTTTTTCTTGCGAGATCATTTAATAGCACAATAAAATATCTTTATTTACTTTTGATTTACATTTCTTTGGTAATAAAACGATTATCACCGATCGGTCTTTTAAACTTACTCTACTGTATCTTAGATAAACATGAGTTATAAAACAGCCTAATAAAAATTTTATGAATCGCTTTTTTATGAATAAATATTCCATATTAATATTAAACGGGCATAAAAATGAGAATAAATCCAGCGAAGCAAGCGAATTAGCTAGCAACCTCTTGTGTACTTTACGAGATTTTTATGGCTCGCAAAAACTATAAGCTGAATCAAGATAATTCACAGACGGAGTAAAAGAAGAATAAAATTCTACAACCATTCTCTTCTCAATAAAAAGACCGAAGAACTAACTCTGTAATAAGGTCTAGGAATAAAAGAAAATATAAGAACAAAATCATAAATGAGGCTTATAATTATAATAAATAAAATATGTAAATAAATAAACAAATCAAACCAAAAGGTAAACAAACCTAAAGGAATTAGTTGTGCTATGACGAGAACCTAATTTAAAATTCGGTAGTACAATTTAATTACCAAATCTTCAGAGATTTCTGCGAAATAAATAAATAGAATATCTGAATGAAATAAAATATAAAGGATTACAAAATAATTATAGAAATAAATTAAGGTAGCAATTTAAGAGTTAATGTGCCAGAACGTGTAATACTGTACATTTCTTTTGTTGATATTAAAAAGGCTGGATCTCGATCAAAAAACTCTTTTTTGCAAAAACCATTAAAACTAAGTGTTCCTTTAAAAAAAACTTTTGCCCGTTTGAAATTTACAGTTTAAATATGGATTTCGCACGATTTTGTGATCACGTATGCTAAATTTGTTTGTAATAATAGCATTATAAGTACAAAATACATATTTTACTTTTGAAATACTTAAAGATCTTCTAGTTTGATGGCATTATAAGTCAGATTGGTGCTTCCTTGTATTAGGATAATTACAAAATACACTATTTATATCATTTACAAATTATAAAATTATATGATAAAATTCCAAATTTGTGAAATATACCTTTTTAGAAATAATTATATATAGTGTACGTATCTAACTAATTTATGTTTTATTGTTCGAAATGAATGGCTAAAAACAAAATGGTGAGAAAATAATGGTCCAATGGCTGCGACCGTGAATATATATTTCCCATCATATATATATATATATACAGACATAGATATATATATATATGTAAGTAGACATATAGTCAATTTAAGTGTGGTATATAAGAGGTTGTCTTTTATATATGTATATAAATATATATATATATATAAGTATGAGAAAGATTGATGCAATAAGTACACACTGACAGGTGTCGCTCTCTTTATATACGACTGACCACGACGTCGCCTCGTCATAAACTGTATTAAAATGTATACACGATATATAACAGTAATTTGTCGTCTAATTTAGAAATACCTTGTAGTCGCAGGTAGTTTGTTTGTATTTATGACCATGGGCCTCGTTTATCTTAATTACAGTCTCTCATATATGCAGTCTCATGCGAACGAGTTATTTCTCTATCCAATTGTTTCGCCATTCTCAAACTATTCAATTTTTCAATTAATCACACTGGTAAGTTAAATCTATATTAACAATGTATGAGCTCTGCGAAGTCATCAAAATAACACCTTATTACGTAATAACACTATTAGTACATGTAGTCCCATTACTGAATATGGCAGCAGATCAAATTTGATCATAATAAAGTAAGATGTATCATCTTATGGCCGTGTCACGTGTGAAATAAGAGTTATTCTTTGTGTTTGAAATTCGATAATAGTATGTAGTTATATTCATATTAAAACACGAACTGTATCGGTGGCGATATCATACAGGCATACGATAGCGTACAATCTTTCCCTAGCGCGCTCACATAACACAGGTCGAGTGGTGATTCGGTCGTTAGCCGAGAAGCGATGTAACGCGCGCGTTGATTGGTTGTTGGATACAGTACGAGTCAGATTACCATGTAAATGATTTATTTTGGACGAGAGTGAGTGAGTAGCCTCACAAATCACACGTATCGTGTAGGTCATGTAGTTAGAATTGTCTGTGCATGATACAAGTCGAAATATGAATTCTTACTTCGCAGCATCGTTTTTACCTCAGTATTCGGCCGACGGCCATTATACGACAACAAACGGTTACACCTCAAACAATTATGGACTATATTCATCTCGTTTCGCCGATCAACTAGGATATCACGGGGGAGGGTACGGCAGTGAACACAACCCTACGGGACATTACTACCCTCAGCAGAAGTCAACAGCACCTTATGGAGGACCTCAAGAGTCCAGTTATGACAGTAAACCGTTTAATACAGAGGACACTAGCCCGCGGAACTATACCGCGGGCTATCAGCACAGTGTGGATTGGACCCATGCTGGGTCGACACCCTCCCCTACCCGACATCAAGCAGAGAGTCCGTATGGCAGTCCCTTAGATATGAAGGGGGGAGTGAATTGTGTTGTATCCCACAAAGATTTAGAGGATAACTCCCCAAAAGCCTCGGAACCAGCCACACCGTTTTATCCATGGATGGGTATAGTAGGTAGGTCATACACTCCATTTTTATTAGTCTAACATGTATATCACTTAACGTTTATCACTTCATAAAGTTTTTATAACAACAGAATACTAAGTTATTACATGCTATTGTCGCTGCTTCATAAAACATGGCTTGTAAATCAAGCCTGATTGAAAGTCTAAAACGTAATGTTCACATAATTGTTATTGCCTATATAGTTTGACACTGAAATACGCATCACGGTAAGTTATGGCCTGTATGCTTTTAAGTCTGAGGCGAAAGAATGGAATAAAAATTATGTTTAGCTATATTTTATAACATAACAAGCCTATAGGGTTTATTGAATTAACTACACGCAAAGCCATAAACCGCTGATTTTAGTTGCAATAAAATGTAAATAAAAACAGGTACTGCATAGGGTTATAGCCATTACAGTGTGTATGCCTTTACAGTTATTTTTTTATTATTGTAATGCGATTTGAATGCTAGCGGTTAATGTTAGACATTAGACCTATTCAGATAAGTAAATAAAACTTACAGGGTCGATTCTTTTAAATATTTGATAGAGTTTTTCAGAATGTCTTTGATCAATTTTTATGACTTTAAAACATCATTTCAATGGAATGGCGGTTTTGAATATATATGGCACGGAAGTGGATATTAAACAGTAAATACAAATAAAGATATCGACTATTTTTTAAATATTTGATTTTGTTCTTGTTCATTTTACAAAGACAGCGTATTAAATATTAAAGTCTTCTTGTCTTATTTACTGCGTATTGCGCTTGGCTGATTGTATCGACGCAGTGCTTTCAACAAAGTGAATTACAAAGCTCGTATTCCGTGGGGTATGCGATATTCATCTGAGGTATAATTCAATAGAAACGACAGCCGGTATACCGTCTACAGCACACTACTATTTAACATGTATTTGTTGCCTATTATTTCTTCGACTCTTAATCGACAATACTTGAAACATTTTTATTAAACAACTTCTAACAACAGTCTAAAAAGGTCACGCTCATCCCCAAATAGCCCTTTTATAAATCACCCTATTATAATTACAGTCATATCGTTTAACAGGCCCGGTTTTAGTTCCATTTTTTTTTTCGAATTACTTGAATACAATTCTTTGACCAACACAATTAAAAATATTAAATATGAATTATTTGTTATTTATATCAATTAAATCTAAATATAAAAGGAAAATAGGTTCCAGGACCACACATATTATTATGTATTTGTTAACATAAAAGGAAAATAATTCATATTTAATTGTGGTGGGTTTTTTTTGTTGGTTTTTTTAAAAGGGGAGGATGCGTGTTTACTGCATGTTTAAAAATTTTAAAAATGTTATCAAGGATGTCTTAAATATACCCATAAGAATTTGTTAATATTTTTAAAGTATTATAAATCAATTAATGGAGGAATAATAACTGTCTTTCAATTTATTTTATATGTATTTTTCTTAAAGGTTTTCTTCATTTTGTCGATCAAAAGTTTTTTGTTTTGTTTGTGCAATATTATTATTGTTATTTTTAAAGATAATATTATACTAAAGTATTATCAAAATTATATTTTTTCAACAAGAATTGTAGTAACTAAGCAGTTACTTGTAATTTGCATATATTTGTTATATATTCATGTATATAAATTAAGGAATATATTATGTATTCTATTATTCTATAGAATTAAAATGATAAAAATCGTTTGTATGCACGGCTGGAATAATTAAATAATTCAGAATAATTATTATTTCTTTTTCAAGGCACATTTGAATATTTCTTTGCGGATTATTAACGGTTATAAATCAAATTCTAAAAATGAAATATATCTCATTTGTTATTTACACGTGGGCTATGAAAATAAATCACATGACAGCAAACATTCAGAGAATCTTAGAAATTATACTGGATATCTAAAAGATTAATTATTTAGCAGGACAATTTTTATTCTTAATTAATGACTCACATTGTGCCAGTAATTGACCGAAAATTAAATATTTAAAATTTAAAAATGGAAGTCATCTATAATGCCCACTTGACAAATTGCATTATTTATACCTTGGCAAGATATTTCATTTTTTACTCCTATATTGACGTGTATGAGCGGTTATTAGTCAGGAAAAGACAATCGGTTTAAATCGATCGGATGCTATAAGCGAAAAACTTATGCATGCTAATACGTTATTAGTTATAGGGATACGTAAATAAAATATTCATGTTCCTTCAAGAATACACGGTGAAAGAGCAACCTACTAAGCAATTTAACTCTTCACAGTCACTGTGTTCAGAGCTATGGAGAATTATTTTCTCGAGTTCTATCCAAATATTATTAATCGCCTGTTCCTTGCGTCTATGGTAATAAATGCAATTCAAAAAACAGTTTCAATATTTTACTTTCGATCCCGGCAAAACCATCCATGGTGGCTATTGTATTTTCGTTATCGTGTTGGTTACAAAACTGAGTTATTGGATTAAGTAGGGCTTGTACAACATGTATGCCAGATTAAGAATTTTAAAAATGACTTAACAAGGTTACTCAGACATACTACGGTCTTGAGCATAATTTGGTCGCTACACATAAAACAATAAAATTTTGAGTGTAATTTTAATAATACATTGATAACATAGAAAAAATAAACAAAATGCATTTTTTAATAATGTTTTGTTATTGTTCAGAAAATCTTATCAGTCGAAACACATTTGATAAGCTACAAAACCAAATGATACCTTGAAAATGTATAGAAATTAGAAACTTGCGAACCATAGCAGAAATACATGTATTATGCATAGACATTTTGACACAAAATTCTTTGTTCGAGATATCGTGACAAGCGGATTATTCGTATATTCCATTGTGTTGTGTAATCCCGAGTTGAAAGACGAATTCCGGTTTTGAATCAGTTATCATCCTTAGACATATTTCTCGTTTATATCACTTACTTGTCGAGTATCGTTTTACGAAAAAACTATGAAAACACAATTAACTTAACTATAGGTAGGAATAACAAATATCCATAAACGATTATCCTTGGATATGAATCTTCGTATAGCTGTTTATTGACGACATATCCAAGATATACCTTACTCCATGTCCAAAGTTAAATCTTGCTCTAAGCTTGTATTCAGCCTCGTGTTTCCTCTTATTCCATTGTCGACAAATAAACCACCATTTAAATTCTATGTTTGGCCAATACCCAATAAGAAAGGGCAGTAAAATACGCGTTACTATGGAAATGGGGAGCTGGTAAAAAGGCAGTAAAAGTTCGACTCGGAATTTAAAGAGCACCACACTCATATTCCAGTCACAAAACTGAATTTATTGTCCTCATAAAATGTCCAGCAAGCAGTAATCGGAGAAGCCGGTTAACGAAAAGGGTTAATTCGGGGTTAGCTGGCTTATCGTTTATCGTCTCCAATTGAATTCCTTTCGCTAATTGAAACACCCGCTTGCTTTGGTTCACATCGTCAGAAAGATAGACTGATGGAAGAAGGACATAAATAAGATGAATAAAAAGACGATACGTAATGGTAGTAAATATCGTGATCTCCGTGTTTCGCTTGAGATAAATGCAATTTATGAAGTGATACGGTTTCAACGCCATAATGTCCCTTCCTTTGTTCAGAATATTTACAATTTGCAACACTACACTGGTTTTATTTTGAGCTCCTAGATAATATGAAGTAAAATTAAGCCATCTGAAATTAGAGTGATCGAATATATACCAAATAAAGTTATTAATAAAGAACTAAATAATTATAAAAAATAATATAAATAGGCCTATGGCCTTTTTGTCTTATCTTTCGTATAATTGGTCATATGAAGTCAAGGGAGGTAACCCGAGCTATTCCACAGATTATTAGCAAATTAATATCATTAAAATGAACGTATAACAGATGAATTATTTCATGTTAGTGTTATCACGTGAGCGTAACCTAAGCTACTTACCATATTTCCTATATGGATTTGACATATGCATGATGATACAAAAAATATAGGCCAATATTGCGTATATATTTAGCTATTTATCATATTCTGCAAAATTAAACACAACAGATGAACAAAAAATACGACTGCAGATATTGGTTTGTAAAATTGAAAATGGCGCTTACATACTGGCGTAGGTCGAGATAACACAAGCTCGATTATGATTTCGACACCTTCTGCTGGAAATACCAACCCTTAAACATTGCTTGTATTAACACTTGCTAAAGAAAATCTTGAATACTTTTAGTAGTGGCATCTTTATTGCCAAGAAGTTATTCAACATATTGTGAGCTAGATTCGATCGACAATGGGTGTTAACACTTGGTATTGCTATTAAACAACCATGTTATTTATGTCTCAAATTCAGATTCCTGGTTTAAAAACTTGGGTTCGTCTTGTAAGTAATATGTGATTTGTCTGTATGCATTAATTAATACAATATTTTTTCAATATTATCTTGCTATATAAACACAGCAATATGTCAGATATAAATACACAAGTATAACAAAAGCGTGTTAGCTACGTGTAACCTTCAAATAAGAATTGACATCAGATGTTCCATAAAGATAACTCGTGACATAAAAAAGGAAATGTATCAGGATAAGAATAAGTAACAAAGTAGTGGCAATAGCCCAATACCCGAAATAAATTTAAAATGATCGCATATAATTCCATGCTCTATTTTGACGTTATGTAATTTTTTCAAATTTGTAGGCCTGTGTAAGTAATATGACTGTTAAATATAACATAGAAGTCTTAACATTGAAGCATCACAGATTCCACTAATGTTATAATATACATTTAAGGATATATACATAGGCTATACTAATAATTATATCTTGCGATGTCGATAAATTCTAATTCATAATATACGATACTCAGTATGCGTCAATTCTGGAATGCAGTCAACGCAACTTAAAGCATTGTTGCCAGCAAACATCCATGTTTTTGTGAAATTTGTATGAAATAAGAACAGGTATGTTTCTTTCTTCTTTAATACACTTTTCTGGTAACAAGCTTCAGTACGGTAATGC